TGAAGTTGAAGGCTAAGTTCAATCTTAATTTTGGAGCTTTCGTGCTGTGGTGGTGGCTCTATAAGCACTAAGTACCCCTTTTTCCACTGCACAACTGGGCGATGCCGGAAGGCTGTGCCTGTTAAGGTTGTTTTTCACACTGCAGCAGCCAAGTCGTACCTTTAACTTAATTCACAATGAACGAGTCTAGACGCATGTCGGTTACGCGGTGACGACGTGTCCTCGCGATGTCGCTCGCTGACGTCGCATGCAACGAACGGTCAGCAACCGTTCCCTGGCCCTGCTTGGCACCTCGCTAGGTTCAGGTGTCTTGGGAGTCCAGCAAGTTGCAGTTTGGTCATGGCTTGACAGGTCAAGTGGGTCATCAACAACCACCAGAGGGCCCTGCGCTGGCTCGGCTCACATTTGCCAGTGGAAAAAAGATGATAGATGCCAGCACGTTGGCTAGTGACACAATCCCGATGGCGGTCGGTGTTAAGCCGCTCACTCAGTTCCGCATTCTAATTGCACATAATCACCAGTACGGAGTGCCTAGAGACGTGCAGGCAGCGGGCTCCTCCCACACAAGGTCGCATCCCACACTTGGGGGTGGAGGGGTTGTGGTGGTGGAGCGAGTGGGTGGGTAGTTGAGGCTGATTGAGGGTAACTTGGCAGTCGCAGGAGCCCCGTGAAACACAATTACGGTGTTGGATTTAGGCAGCGTCTGAATGCAGCCACATGTCCAGGGTACTGACACGTGAGCACTGAGGGCATTTGTTTTATAGAGAGTCATAGGCAAAGCGGGGGAGGGGGGGGGTGAAGGGAACACAGCCTGAGCAGGGGCAGAGGGGGGAAGGGTGTTCCAGATGATGGGGGCAGCAGAAGAGAATAAGCAACTTCCCATTGAGAGACAATGTGACTGGGGGCAGTGTAGAGGGGAGTAGAGTTTGATGAGAGAGCAGTCTGGGCAGCATGGATGGCTGGGCCGGAGAGGAAGCTCGACGCCTCGGATGCAGCAGCAGCAGCAGCAGAAAAATGAGCAAACGAGAGAGGCTGGAAAATATTAACGGTTCTGCATTTGCTTTTTCACACTGCTTTTAATAAACACAAAAAAAGACGAGCACAAAGAAAACGCAACAAAAACCTCGCCGACCTTGGGATTTGAAGGCTGTCGCACCTTGTTTCGCTTTCGCAGTCAACATCATCAGAGAGCCCTCTGATATGCACACCATAGCCGCTTCACCCAATTATCAGATTTTTCACTTATAATAATTATTTTTCCTACACCCCCACCACAACCCCCTTCTATCCACCGATCCCCATGGCCTCTCGTGATGATTAATACATGAGGAGTATTTTTGTAATGTTTTTTTCTGCCTTCATAATTTATCCCTGGCGGGCGCGTAACTGACAATGGCGGGTGAGCGCATCAGCTTCGCCCACCCCGAGAGAATCTCTTTTCATTTTCGTGGGAGCGGCGCGGATTTGAGTTCACGCTGACACTCTTTTGTGATGACTGGCCAGGTGGCTGAGAGGTCAAGAGGTCAGAGGTGGCACGGAGGATGAGATAACCTGTGTTCCAATCCAGGTATCGGCCGCCTGTGATTCATACCGAGGTCCTCCAACGTTCCGAGTTGACGGGACGGTGACGTGGCCGAGGGGTAGCGTGTTTGCCTCTTGTCGCAGAGGTTTGTGGTTCGAGCCCGGTGGCCGCCCTGGTTAATACTGCGGATGTATAATAGTAATTTTAAAAAATGTCTACTTCACGGTGGACGATAAAGGATTACAACAATGGTATTCTAAAAGGATTAGGCCATGTTTGCCGGCGTCACGGTCCAAGAAAATTAACAACCCCCGTATTTTATTTTAACGTGGCGCATATAGAACGGAGATCGATTGATTTATTTCATTACTGTCAAAAGTGAATATCGTAAACAAATCATTTTCATCCTCTTAAGCATTGAAAAAACTTAATTAGGTTGGGAGTGATGATGAATGCTGTTTGGCATCCCGATGATTGATTGCGTTTCTTGTGCTTGGTAAGGAATTTCGTCATGATTTGTAAGAAACCCATCAAGCATGAATGAGTAAAACCCGGGCTCAATAAATGTAATCGTCCCTTTCTCCTCTACTGCCCCCATCGTCTGGAAAACACTTCCCCCAGCCACCCATGCTGTCAACTCCCTGCCACAAAATGAGCCTCAATACTTTGCTGATCTCATCAAGGAGCATAAACCATCACACGAACTCCGGTCATCCTCGCAGCAGTAGCGGCATTTGGCTAGCCATTGCACAAAGACGGTCACTGCATCGCACGCTTTCAGATGCGCTTCTGCAGGCATCTGGAACACGCTCTTCCGATATTACATTTAGAAGCCATATAAATCCTAATTTTTATTTAAATCCACACTGTATTATACATAGGCATATACACTTATATAGACGTATACGCTAACACAGGACCCATAGACTCACATAGGACCCAGAACTTTGCATAGAGACCCATAGACTCACATAGGACCCATACTGTAGAGATTCATAGACTTAAAAACTCATATAATTACATACAGACGCATATGCTCCCACAGGAATCAATATACTCGTACAGAGACCCATAGACTCGCATGGTGACCCATGGACTCAGGGACCTGTATACTCACATCGGGATTTCATAGACTCACATGGGGACCTATCGCTGACTTGCCTATAACATAAATTCTGCCCACTGTTTCAGTACAGCGTCTTGAGATTCGCGGTCACATTTCGACTCTGCCATATAAATCCGCGCGGCAATCCTATTCGTATTGTATACTTGTGAAAGTCGGGGCAGCAGGGTCAGGGTTGGATTGGAGGGGAGGACGATTCAAAGGCAAATGGCATTTCCTGCTGGACGGTAGGATCGGCAGGGCTTCCGATTGTTTTATCGCCGGAACAGCGGGGAGACCGACCCCCCCGACGTTGAGTGTGGCGTGGGCGATGAGAGATGTCTTCATCTCTTCACACTTAGCTCTGCACTGCCTCAATGGGGCCCGGCGTTCCTGTTGCCAATGGTTGCTATCGCCAGTGCTAACTGTGTGTGTTTTGACGTTTTTTTCTCCCGACTTTTTCAGGGGACGCACAAAGACGTGTGAAAAGCACACTCAGCCTTGTGTGCATTGTACAAAAACAACAAAAACATCAGCAGTACCTGAAGAAGCGCATTCCTGTCCTTTTGTCTTAGGCCAGCATCCAAATAAATGTGAACCAATGTGGCCCACTGATGGGCAGCAGTGATTTGGAGGTGGACAACCATCGACTGGTTTTGCCCATATTAGGACTCGTCAATATAGTGTCGTATGTTCACCACTGCTCACCGCTGCTCACCGCTGCAATTTCGGTCTCTGGTAACCATATATATGCAGTCCCCACACGATGGGGAGTACCATTAGCGTGGCTAATGCCAGCAAAATAATTAAATCTGTAAATGAATTTTTGATGGAATTTCTTATGACGTAGCAGATTTGGTTAATTTAACGACGTGTCCTCTTGCACGGTTGTGCTATGCAGCGCATATCATGTTATAGCTGGGACGATTAACAATGTGCAACATTCCCGTCTATTAAATATCGGTTATTTCACTCTTGGTACATGTGGTCAATTGTGCATGTCCTCTTGGGTGCATTCCCTCCATTAGCTGCCTTTCTGGCGTCAGTCATGACCCCACTGAGCATCGTTGAATTGGCACGCATGAGTCGATTATTTACGTCTGCCAGAATCCTCAAATGTGACTTTCTGATGTCACATTGAGACTTGAACAAAACCATGCAAGCAAGGAATTCGTTTTGGATGGGGGAAAAAAACATAGTTTGGATTTCGTTTTTTTTTAGGACAATTTTGGTGTCTTGTTCGGATTTCTTTTAATTTTGGATAACTTGCGCTCCGTAATAATTTTATGTTAGTGGTGGCAACAACAGTGGTGTAACGTTACATGTGACACAGCTTTTGCCGAGAAAAGCACGGAAATGACCTAGTCTAAGTGATGTCACTTCCGTCTGCGTGATACTTTCGGATTAACCCGAAACACAAAAATAACACAATTTAGTATCATTAAAAATATCGTATCTTAGTCGGATTTTTGGAGGTAAAAAAAAAAGTTAATGTCAGCCCAATAATTGGGAAAACTTCCATTGTACAACCGAGAATGGAACATAATAGAGAACAATACAAATTAGATGGTCAAAGGCGACTCAAAAGGATAGATTCTGGAATCCAATTGTGACGCCCAATTCGTGAAAATCATCGAATCGCTGGCCTTATGAGTGAATCATGTGCATTGTTTAAATGCCCTGTGTTGCCTCAATTCGAAAAGCCTTTGAATGGGAGTCATGGTTCAGCGGAGCTTGCCCGCTTGGATAGGTTAATGAGGCATCACATTCATTATAAATATCTGCTTCACTGTTTCACACAATATAATTGTATGTACGAGTAGTATTCAAGAGCGAGTCAGATGAAAAACCTTTGCTCCCGCTACTATTTGCATGTGATTTGCATTAATTATAAGTAATTGACTATGATGCACACAGTATGTAATGCGTGTGGCGTGAGAAAGGGGAGCTGTCGGTGTGTAATGGTCGGCACGCTGGACTTGCAGTCCGGAGGTCACCGATTGACTCACCACCACAGTGATGCGTGGTGGGGTAAAATGTGGATATTCCCACTTTTTGGTCAAGATGTGTGGCCCAGCATACTAGAGTAGACCAAATACCCAGAAGAGCGGCTCTTTAGAGCAGAGGGCCTTCTGTAAGCAAGCTATTGCAGGGCTGCACCTTTACCTTCAGCAGGATGGATCCCTCCCCCCCCCCACCCTCGACCTCTGGGTTACAAGTGCAGTGTGCTCACCATTACACCACGGCAACGTTGTCCGATGACTTGTATTGAGTATTTACTGTGATCGAGTACAATGTATTGGCTTGGCTGATGTTGGTCGGACCGCTGGGGATATTTTTCACTCGTTTAATCAATAATTTCACTTTTTTTTCCAGGGCACTGGCAGCCTGGTGAAGATATGGAAGAAGAACTCGCAGGATGCCTGTCCGCGGGATTAAGGCCACGTAACCTTTTCGACGAAACTGTAAAAGCAACGCCCAACGGTTTCTCGGAGGTTGCTTTTATGTTCGTAGCGTTTTGGAAACCGGAGGGGCAGGGAGGCAGCAGTGTTAATTTTCTTTTACAAAACTACCGATGGAAATATTCATCAACGGGGTGGTGTTTGTGTTTTTATTTTGAGTCGACGATCGCTTATGAGCGGACGGAACTGTTGAAGTTATGGCGACGATGACTACGACTGCTCGGCCAAAGACGAAAGCACGACCATGACGAGACGAAACTAGCCAGTCTGAATGAAGACACGGACTAAGATTATTTTGTTGCCTTGTTGGAGATCGCAGTGCGCTGAGGAAGAACAGACATGATCATCTATATAAATAAAGACCTTAATCTGTGTCTTAAAAACCTATAAGTTACTTTCTAACAAGGTAGAAAGCTGAAATTTGGTACAGAGGTTGCGTTTAGGACATGAACAACAGAAACACATCAGAAAATCCCGAGATTTTTCATTTTAAGGCCCCCAAATCTCGATCCCTGCAGTCACGAAAGCTTTAAATCGAGATGTCTGTGCGTGTCATTCAGAAACCATTCAAATATAAGATTGCGGGTTTTTTTCGTTTGATGGTGTTAAAATAGAACCATTCTATATTTTATTGTTTTTGAGATTTCGGATTCAAGCGGTTTTCAATGAAAGAATACGCATTTTATGATCATATCTGAATAATTCCAAAACGGTAAAAGATAGAGGATTAAGTTCATAAGCAAATTACAGAATCTTGAAATTCAGCGGTTTCTGATGGGTGTATGCCTTTAAGTATAAGAAGTAGATTCAAGTCAACAATTATTTTTTTGCGGATTAAATGCAACATTTTTGGAGTAAAGTCTATGATCGTAGCTTATAAATTGTAAAACTAAAAATCATATCAGGTTAATACATTTATTGAAAACTTTTGCATGGGCTAGTTGGCTATATATGCATATAAAGAGATGTTTTGAGTTCACCAATTGGCTGACCTGATAATATGGGTGTGTGGGGCGTGTGGAAAATTTCACACTCCACACACGAAAACGTAATGTGAAGAGTGTTTGACTAAGCGTTTTTTGATAGCTTTATAATGTCCCGGTTGCTCGTTTTTTTGCGGCATTAACGTGCGATTAAACGAGACCCCTGGATCGCACGTTATTATAACGCGGGAAGGCTCGTGCTCAGGTCTTGGGGATTATCAGTGCAAAGAGTCGGTGGAATCCCGTAGAATATTGGATTTCCGCTGACAACGTAAAGGATGTCCTGGGCATAAAAAAAAAAAACCACGAGGAAGCATTTGTTTAACAAGCCGCGCTAATTCTCCGGTGGCCACGTTATTAGAATGGATCGCGGTAGATTACCGGAGCGGCATACGCAGTCGGACAGAGACGGAAGAGCGGAGGGAAATGACCCCAGATGTGGGTGGCTTAGCCCGTGACTGCGGAATTGGAAAATAGCTTTGAATGTCCCCCCCCGTTTTCCCTCTTGATGAAGACGGGAAGCGATGGAACTTGTTAGTGGTTGATGGAAAGTCACACGTTTCTCACGGATGCTGTTCGCTAAGAGCAGGGTGTGCGCTGGGAGGAGCGGGAAGAGGAGTGAGGAGTAACGGGGCCAGTCCATCTCCGCCGGGTTCTCTGGATTTACCCTCTAAATTTAGAATGAACATGTGTTTAGATTATTTGGCTGCAACTGTAAATTCCCACATGTGACTATAAAGCCAATTCCATGAGCCAGGTTGCCTCTGAATTAAAGCTGATAGCTCGGTGGGCTTTACCTGGTAAAATACAACAGCCGAGTAGGTTTTTTAGAAACTACTCTTTGGTTCTTTCGGTAAAGTCACGGAGAAAGAAATTAAATAATAGAATGTGACGTTTCGATTGCAACACAAGCAATCGTCATCAGGTACGAATGAATGAGAAAACAAACCTAGTAAACTTCGCAAAATATAATGCAATACAACACAGAGAGTCGGCTAACATAACAGTCAACACCCTACCTGGTTGATTACGTTCTTCCAACAATTGCTAAATTTGAGAGAGACAAAACAGACACGGAGACACACAGACAGACACACAAGCAGAGAGAGAGACTCGCACAGAGACTGGAGAGAGACGCACACATAGGCATACAGAAACAACGCCTATGTGTTGAGGCCTTAAATAGAGAGAGAGCAGGGGGGGGTAGAGAATAATGAGAGAGTTGTGTGGAACAAACAAGCACGGCCTGCCCAAAGCGGACGGAGGAGCTAGGCACTGGACTTGTAAACAAACAAGCAAATTTAGTAAAATTAATGCAACACAGAGTCTGTTAACACACAGTTAACGCATAGCCTGGTTGATTACGTTCTTCCAAAGATTGCTAAATTAGAAGTTAAAGTGTGTAACAAACAAGCGCGGCAAATCCTCCCCGTAGAGGTGGTTAGAACTAGATTCAAAGCTTAATTTATTTCTACGTGACTTTACCGAAAGAACCAAAGAGTAATTCCTGCAGTCACGAAAGCTTCGAATCTAGTTTTTAGAAACTGCTCGGGAAACTTAATTCGCAGGGTTTGGACAAAAATTCCTATTGCACTACCACAGTCCATCCACATATTTGTGAATCAAATGTGTTTTTGTGTTTAGTCAATACTGACTATGGGCGGTCGAAAGAAGTGTGACGATGCCCACAGCTAGGAGTCAAACTTGCACCCGTCTCCCCCCCCCCCCCAATGACCAATTGACCGTGCAAAATATTGTTTTTCTTTCCCCATTGCCGATGTTGGCAGCGATCAGTTCAGAAGCAGAATGTTGAGGTCTGCTAGCCACGACGTTAGGGCTACAGGGGAGATTTTGTGTAGTTTTACTTCCTAAAAAATGCCTACTTCATAATTTTTTCTTGCTGTGGTTATTCCACCTGATGACGATTGCTTGTGTTGCGATCGAAACGTCGTGATTTGTTTTATTTTATTTTATACCTACGTGACTTTACCGAAAGAACCAAAGAGTATGTAATATAAATTTTCTATACTTTTGAGGCATAAGCAATTAGAAAATAACACTTACTACCCAGGAACAAAATTCGTGTTACATAGTGAAATCCGTCAAATGAGCGGGTGAGTTAATTGTTACATTGCCAACCTACTATAGTCTACAAAATTAGAGCATTTTGCGTTTTTGTGTTGGATACTTCTACAATTGAAAGCAAATATACAGCAAACCCTTGCCCATCGCGGGGGAGGCGGGGGGGTTACGATCTTGGAAATAGCCGCAATCGGCAAAACCGCAAACTGAAAAGTATGGCAGGGGTCGGCAACCAAAATAACAAGAAGAGCCATTTCTTTCCAATTCGGTACAAAATTCAGTATTTCAAGAGCCGCAATGCATCTATGTACAACTGTACATACGTACATATCGTCAAGAAGCAGCCCGTAAAGAGCCGCATGCGGCTCCGGAGCCGTAGGTTGCCGACCCCTGGTCTATGGCAAGTGGGAAAATCGGGGTTGGTCCACGGTTCGCAGCAGCGTCAACGCGAGCAGCGCAGTGGCGATTACGCGTAGAGGGATCTCGCGGCCGACAGCGAAAGGTCCCGAGCCACAGCGGTGGATCGGCGAACTGAAGCTCGACAAATTTGGCGCGCGCTCGCTAAGCCCACGAGAGGGGGGGGAGGGTTTTGCTGCTGTGTGACGGGACGACTTTGCCCTCCTTTGTCTTCAGGGGCAAGTGGGCCCTTCCCCAGAGCGGTCTTATGACGAATGTGTTGATTTTTGTAAGTGTTTGGGCATGTGCAGCATCGCAAAAAAAAAAATTGTTGTTTATTTGAGGCTTCGTTGAAGCATTTGTGCCATTGATTGACCCCCGTGTGGGTAATCACAAGCCCCCTGTTGTTAATTTTTGGGGCTGTTGTTGACTTGTCATTTTTGTTAATTACAATAAAAACAAAATGCTTCAACTACTTCATGGTGGAACAATTTGCGTTTTGTCAAAATCCTTCGTAGAATAAATTTTGATCAAGGAATCTTAATTTGTAAATGTTTCTAATTACGTGCAAATGTTCTAATTCACGTGCGTGGTGGGTGTCTGAGATTTTATCTGACGCAACCCTTATTTCACGAATCCAGTGCCCCTTGACCTTTGTTGGGCCCTCTCTCCATGTGCTCGGTATGCTTACGCCTTGCAACCACCACTGGCTGCTGCGTCGTTGCTTTTGTAATTCCAGGTCACCGCCAAACGCCAACATTGTCCCACCACCGCATACATTCTCGAGAAACGCATCTTGCTCGTTCTACCTACTGGAGCATCCAGAGTCTTAACTTTCCTCTCCCGCAGGCGAGCAAAAATGAATGCGATCGCGGAACCAAGGAGCAATACAAAATATGCTTTTATTTCCCATATAAAGCATCTTCCACCACCACTAGACGTCTGGCAAAGAGTGCAGCGTTTGTTCTCCGTGACCGCAGCGTGACTCGCAAGAACGTTGGTGGGACGTTGACGGGACGTTGACGGGACGTTAAAGACGGCGGGGGGAGGAGGGGGGGGCGCAAGCAATGCGAGGATCGTCACGGAGCCAAATGCGACACTTTTTTTTCTTACATCGATGCACGCTGTCAAACGGCAGAGCGCGCCCGTAGAGCTGGGGCTAAGAAGACAATGAATCGACAAAAAGGATTAAAATAATTTAGTTTTTTTTTCTGCAGTCTCTTACTCGGGGCAAGTTAATACATCTCCCGAAGGCAGGAAACCACCCCCCCCCCCCCCCTTATCTTTACAGGTACGAGTAGTGGGCAGCGTGACACGGGCCCATCGCGGCGATGCCGATAACGTCACTAAGTGCCGCCCATCACCTCCCGTCCAGCGGCACGCGTGGCAACAGGTGAGACTCCCCCCCCAACCCTCCCGGGCTGTTTTCGTGTCTTCTCTTTAGCCGAGCACTCGGGACTGATGATGGGTTTGGAATGAGCGATTAGTTGAGTAATCGAATATCCCCCCAGCCCAGCTCTAGGACGTCGCCCACAGTTGACGGCTCTCCTCCCCAGATGTCATCGTTGGCTTTCATTCCACAAGCAAAACAAAAGTCTCGACACGACTACAAAGAGGTTGACTTGCGCCGCATGGCAAAACAAAACAATCCGCCGTGTTTTTACAGAAGACTCGTCAGAATGTTTGACCCTTTCTGGAAATAAAACAGGTGTGTCAAGATGGTAAAAACACCAAACGGAAACCTTTTGCAAGGAAATCACTTTTATTTTCTCAACCATGGAGTTCATGGTCGTACGGCGCTCGTTGGATATAGGAACGCGTGTCTTTTCCACTTCACAACCGAATCGTGCCGGGGCTATGCCGTGCCAGCCTTGGCACGGCTCAGGAAGCAAGCACCACGTATTTTTCCACCACAGAAACCGAACCGTGCCGTTGACGTCACGCGTCTGAGCGTAAGCGCCCGACGCCAAGTGTGATGAAAATTATTAAACTTGCGCCTGGTCCTGCCTGGCCACGCGGACCAGATGTAGCTGTCTTGTCAGGTCAGCGTAGCACGGTTTGGTTCTGGCTCGACAAACAGCCAGTGGAAAACCACCTGTATGTTGAACTCCTTTCGCACCGTACGTAGCCAATTGCGCTCATCGGAAGTGAGCGCCGCACGCTGGCAAAGCTCGGGTGTGGCAGTGGAAAAACGGTACGAGGAGGGGCTCGCATTCCTCCCTCGTCACCTTGGAACATTCGCAACGGAAGTCCCCTGGGGATGGCACTCCCTTACCACCGTCACGTCGGCATTCGTCCGGAACATTTCCACGCGATAGGCCATTTGGTTGAGCTATCATTTGTGGCCAGGTCGTTTGCGAAAAAGAAGCTCATAGCCGAGTGGGCTTTTCGTGGTAAAATAAACATAAGATTTAATAATAATAGGGTTCATATTCTTGGTTCTTTCGGTACAGTCACGTAAAAGGGAAAGAATAAAAGAATATAAATAAAAAATATAATTAATATTATTTTATTATTTCCCTTCTACGTGACTTTACCGAAAGAACCAAGAATATAAATACCTGCAGTCACGAAAGCTTTTAATCAAAAATAATAATAGGGTTTTTCCCCTTTTTTGTTTGTTTGCATTTGACTGCAAGTATTGTGGTTAATGCAGACATGCATCCTCGTAAAAAGGTTTCAGTTTTGTTGCCAGAAAAAAGGGGAAAACCCTATTATTGTATTTTGGTACTGGCAAAGGAGGTCTAATGATGAAACGTAAGATTTGTTGTGTTCGTCATTTGTTTACCTTTCCGACACTTTGCACTCATATCGTGTCTTCGCACTGTTTGTTGTCGTAACGTTGCGACCCTCTCTCCTACCTGGACATCTGTGAAAGAAGAGCTCCATAGCTCATCGGATTCCTCCGGTATAAATACACATTCTGATTCCGTTTAACTGGGGGACGTGAACTCCTCGTTAGAGGGAGCTCTGGAGAGCTACCTTTGGTGGGTACTTGGCCTACACTTCGAGACACGTCTTGGGAAGAGGTGGGATTACCCATGGAATCGAAGCGGTGACCTCTGGATTACAATGTCCGGCGTGCGGACCCTTACACGCCGAGGTAGCAGCTCCCGGCGGACGTGCACACGGCGCGCTCCTGTTTAAGTTTTAAACCCCCCACCCGCATTCTCTGTTGAGAGCAAGGCTGTGTGTCGCGCTGTCTGCTGCTGTCGCTGTAATTACATTTTGTTAACGTCTTACATTCGCGGGTTGTAAGATAGCGCCTCTTGTAAACAATTGGTTCTCAGCTTACGATTAAAAGGGAGGGTGGGGGGGGGCATTCTTTCGTAAAGACTGACATTCGGTTAAGTAAGCACGCGTGTGCCAACACGCTTGTGCGTGATGGCACGGTGGCTAATATTCGCAGCTGGCACAAAAGGGCCGCGTTCCATCGGGCGGAGGGAGAGGTTTGCACGGTGGTAACATTCGTGCGTCGCAGAAAGACGCTCCTGGGTTCGATTCCTGACCTCGGGCACCTCCGTGTGGAGTTTGGATGTTCTCCCTCGTGTTACGGCGTTGATTTTCCTCCGAGTTCTCCGGTTTTTCTTTCGTAGCTAAAACATTTTTTTTTACCCTGGTATCGGCCAAACATTCCCCAATGCTAAAAAAATTACCTACAAATTTCTCAATTGGGACTACACAAAGCAACATCGCCCTCTACTGTGAACACTTGAAGAGGCCGCCTGATAAAAGAGTCTTGAAAGTTGGTAAGGCTTTCTTGGGTAAACAATTGTTATAATAAGAATAAACAAAGGTAACTACAGTGCTCAGGTGAGGCATTCTTGGCATGGTTGGCATCAAAACCTTCAAAGCGGAGAATGAGATTTCAAGACGCAGTGAATTGGAGCTGCCCCTTGCGTTGTATCTTTGTGATACACAGTCTATTTTTGGGTCAGGCCATGTAACGTTGAAGCCAACTGTGCCGTAAAACACCCTCCACCACCCGACGTAACCAAACAAAATCGCCACGCGCGCAAACGTTGAACTTGTAATTGGCACTGAAGTTTCAGCTCACCGGCAAGTCGGATAACAATTGACGCAACCCAACGTAGCAATTCAGCAATCGCATTTCGGCGATTCTTGAAGGTCATGGCCGTATCATTCGGATTGAAGAATACGAGTGGTTCGGCAGAAGTAATGGTCGGAGCGCCAAATTGCGAAGGGTCCCCGGCCTTCACGCGTCTCGCAGAATTCCATTTATGCTTTCAAAACCATTCAGATCTGCGATTTAAAAAATAAAAACCGTGGGCCCCGACTCCCTCGTTCGATCTCTAGTTTTTCGAGGGTGCATGACGTCGCACGTGTTACACCGCCGACTGTTGCTTTTCCATCTTTTTGAAATCCACACTCTATATTCTGGGTTCTATAATGAAAATTTTTTCATACATAAAAAAAAACTAAGAACTAATTCGTTTTTCTAATATCTTTTTCAATCTCTCGGCCAAATGATTTTTATTCTCGTCCTCTCGTTCAATGATCTTGTTTTTGCGTGTGTGCGTTTTGCACGTTGTGTGCATGCACGCTGTTGGTGGGCAGCGGTAGTGTAGTGGTTAGCGCATGGCCAACAATGGTGATGAATATCTGAACCGGTCCTGGACCTCCCCTAGGTTGACTCAGCCTTACCCTGGTGTAATGTGTCAACATCGACACGAGGGAGTTGCGCTGCCCACCCCACCATGCAATACGCTGTTTCAGCCGTATCATGTGTTCCACTAATTGCACTTGCCCAACAGCCTGTTGAGGCTATACAGGGTATCTTTGTTTTGTAACCAAATATGTGGACACATTTGAATGGTGAATGGCAATGGTTGGCAAACACTTGGCTATGAACTCGCTGACATAAGTTCGATTCCTGGCCCGTCTGACATGAGTGGCGAGCGAAATTTGAACCGGTCCTGGGCCTGCACCCACTTCCGCACTGACCAGCGTGGTGAAGTATGGTCAAACAACCCCAAAGGCCAATGACAGTAGGATGAGGGAAAGCCTTCACCAAGCATTAAATATAATCTTATAATTTACTATAATATTTATCTTATTTATTTAGTGTCTAAAGCCGTGTATATGTTTTTACGAACATATATTTACTTACGTACATATACACGCATCTCTGTACAAGCTGCACAAAAAAACATCTATTGAACAATCGATATAGACACGGTATTCTTGAAGCATACTGAAGGGCGACATCCGGACCTATTTAAAACGCCCCGGTGTTAATTTCCCCACGTACGCGCGTAACCACGATCCCAGACACACACGAGGTCACCCGCGACGAGTGTCCTTCCTGTTCTTGTAAATCTCGAACATGATAGGTCTTTCAAAATAAACTATTAAAATATTGAAGTGACCCCGGGGGGGGGAGTGGGAGGGGGTCAGAGGTCAGACGGCACCACTGAGAGAGTCCTGGGTTCGAATTTGGGTTTCAGTGGCCAGGTTCTCAGCTGCCCAGAGCAAGATGGGTCTTGGCTCGAACAGTAATAAACCAAAAAACACAAGTGCACACACACACACACAAACCCCTACCATCATATTTGGTTTTGCTCTTGGTTTTGGCTAAATTCCAGCTAGGAGAATTTAAATAATTGTAAAAACACTCTCATAGAAGGGTGCAGGGGAAAGTGTGTCCCCCCCCCCCCGGGTTATTTTTTCCAGACAAAGTCTGTTCTTTTAACACGTGGGGCACACTACTGCCGGCAGATATCTACAAGGATTCTCCCTGTCTTGCGACATGATGCCGGTAGTGCAATTGGAACTGGGGGGTTGGTTGAGGGGGGGCAGTGGAAAAACCAAGAACATTAAATAATCAAATACCTCCAGCGATGTGGAAAATTACTATCCACTGAAGACTTATCCTCTCATGCCCTCTCCAAACTGCCCGGTATTGAGAATTGCACATCTCTGACATCGTCGAAAGGATCGCGGGCCGCACGTCGCAATGTTGAGCCGTGAGTCATGTGTCGTACCAATTGGCCCATCGCGAGCGGGCACAGCTGGCAGCGTAGGTGCCAGCTGTGAGAACCAGGTCTCGGTGAACAGAGTCTCTTTCGCAGGGGAGACCTGGGTAGTGAGGGTGGGGGGCGGGTGTCGGTGTGAGAATGAGCCCTCTCCGAAGCGTGACGCGCGCCGAATCGCACCGCGCCGCTTTGTGAGACGCCGTTCCTGCTGCACTCCGTCGCGCGTTTTGCGTGAACGTGAACGTGTGCCCGCGCGCGCTCGTCCACTGCGAGAACATCCACCACCGGCTCTGCTTGATTGCGACCGAGGCGAGTGCTGCTCAATGTGCCACCTGCGCAGGGAGACGCCCAAACGTGTCGGCTACCAACGGACAAGCGACGGGAAGCCGGAAGGTTTGACGCGGCAGGAGGGGGTCGCTGGAGGTCACGCGGCGGCTGTGCACGAGGCGCAGCGTGCGACGCCATCGACGGCAACTGCCCCCGACGACCCCTTCATCTCCATCTGGATGTAACCTACGCATGTCGTCGTGGTCGTCATCATAAGCCAAGGCATGATCTCTCATCCAACGCTTAAGGGATCGGCGACGGCTTGGAGGAGGCCTGAAACGTCGCCTCGTTTGAATCGGTCATAAAGTAACGCGTCGTTCGCTGCGGGAGCTGCAAAGCGCACCGGAGCGACGAGTCATCTGACCGCCGTCCCGCGCTCCCCTTGCTCCTCAGACCCTCCGCCCCAAGCCGGCTCCTCTGTGGACGTCGCCGCCGTCGTCGCCGTCGTCGCGATCGCCGTCGTCGCGATCGCCGTCACCGCCGCCGTCGTCACGATCGCCGCTGCCGGGGTCGTCCCGGAGCATCCGTTGGAGGCGGCGGCACCGGCGGCGACGCCGTGACCCCGCGACCCCTCTGCGCCACCGCATCCGCCGCGTTGCACCGCCACCGCGGCCGCCGCCACCACCACTGCCGCCGCGGCCGCCTTCTCCTCCATCGCCTCGTGGATGGTGGGCAGGCTGCCCTGCTTGGGGCAGCGCTTGCGCAGCGCCAGCAGCATGGGCTGTGGCAGCGAGAAGATGTCCACGTTGTTGCCCAGGTCGACCCAGGAGAGCGACGGGAAGGAGCGCGGCTCCTTGAGCGACTCAGCCAGGTCGCGGAGCACGGCGCGCGTCAGCCGGTTGCCGTTGAGCGCCAGGCTGGCGAGGTTGGGCAGCGCCGCGAGGCCCGGCAGCAGCAGGCGCAGCCCGTCGTCCGTGAGCTCGGCGAAGCTCAGCTCCACCGAGTTGAGGCCGCGCAGGTGCGGCGAGCCGCCCTGCAGGAAGGAGGCGACGCGCTCCAGCTCGCGCCGGTGGCCCGGGCTGCCCAGCGGGACGCCCGACAGGGGCAGCGTGCCGCCGTCGGGCTCCAGGCACAGCGCCGGCTTGGCGCTGCGGCGGACGGGCACGGGGGGGGAGGGGGAGAGAGAAAGAGTGGCAAGCGCGACGGTCAGCTGCGCGCCGACGGATCGCTGCGAGTGCGCGGAAGCCCCTTGTTGAACGCCGCGCGGCAAGAGGCCGACAGGAATGGACCGCCAACGGCCACGTTCGACGGAGCGACAGCGGACACGAGGCTGCAGTGAACATACAGTGGTATTTCGATTTAAAGCTTTCGTGACTGCAGGGATTCATCTTCTTGGTTATTTCGGTAAAGTCACGTAGAAGGGAAGTAATAAAATAAAAAAAATAAAACATAATAAATTAATTCTCACGACGTTTCGGCTTGGTGGTGTTTCATTCTTCACCTGAGGATGGCTGCTTGCGTTGTGGCCGAAACGTCGTGAGAATTATTTTATTACGTTTTATTTTTATTATTTTATTACTTCCCTTCTACGTGACTTTACCGAAAGAACCAAGAAGATACAGGGGTATATTTGACAAGATGCCACGGTGAAAACACGACATGAGGCTGTGGTTAATGTACAAGCTTCCCTGGTGAGTGGACAAGAAACTGGCGAAACGTCCTCTCGGGAGCGTTCGCTCCTTTTGGCTGTGAATCCGTCGTCAGCCTCGACCGCCGGCCATGATCGCTTCTCGTGAAGTGTCTTCGACCCCGCTTACCGTTCCGATCGGTGAGTTACGCGGGGTCTGGTTGGTTTGTTTAATGACGCAGAGAATTCTGGAGGCCAGGAGTGTCACGAATGCGGGTTCACATCCACCCGTCCGCTCATAAAAAAACCACGGACAAACGCCGGCGATCCCCCGGGCCTTCATTTCTCGCTCGGTATTTTCCAGAACGCTTCTAGGGTTTGGCATGGCGTAGCGATAATGGTCGTAAAACACCGGCACTCAAGAACAAAGTACGCCTGTCCACGATGTCCCTCTATCATCGTAACCACAACGTATTCCTCCTCCAAGGACAGATTAAACATCACGAGGACAAAAACACGACGAGATGGATGAGGAGCGCAAAAATAAATTCCGACCGATAATAATGTTCCGACCGATAATAAGAAATGCCGCAGCAACTCAACCGCGCAGCGAGCAGGAATGAGAGTTTATTTAATTATAATAACTCGGGCCCGATGTCAGAACCCTTGAGGTCTCTCAGCTGTAAGGAAGGGGGAGGGGGGGAATATGAAGCGGCAAAATCCAGCCTTCAGCCGTTAATTAGCGGAACACAGTGGCCCCAGCCAGGAGGAAGGGGCTAATTTGACGAGCAGTATTCCGAGCGATGTCCCAAAGCTTCCAAATGAGATGCTCGTTAAAAAAAAAGAAAATCCACGTTTGTTTATACTGTAAGTCTCAAAATGAAATAAAAACATTTGGTTATGTTTTGTATTCCGCTCAGTGGCTCGCTTATTTGTTTGTCCACGGTGCAATCTGTCATCCAGTTAAAACAAATGTGTTAGTTAACAAATCCGGTTTCATAAACGAAATTGAAGTGTCTTGTGAAAAAATGATTGTTGCTACGCAGGAGCCGGGCAGATTGTCACATGGCAGGACCGTCGCGGATGGCGATGCCGGCATGGGAGAGGAGGCCTTCATCCAGCAGCAGATTGAACATGGCTGATAGTGACGATGATGTAAACACAGCATGGCAAACGTGACTTAATAATTTGATTAATTTAAAAAAGGATAATGCTCGTGATGCTTGTGTAAAATTGTGAATATAAGGGCATGTTATTTGCGATTTGTAAAATTTCAATTAGATTCTTAAGTACATTTTAAGGCTGAAGGCACGAACCAGACGCTAAAACGATGGGAACATATAAGACACACGGCACAAACGAGACAACGACCAGCAGATTCTGAACCATGGCGATCCATCGACTCGGCAGGGGGAGGATCAAGGGCAGGATGTGGGTCAAGGGCAGGGTGTGTGTCAAGGGCAGGGAGTGTGTCAAGGGCAGGGTGTGTGTCAAGGGCAGGGTGTGTGTCAAGGGCAGGGGGAGGATCAAGGGCAGGGTGTGTGTCAAGGGCAGGGTGTGTGTCAAGGGCAGGGTGTGTGTCAAGGGCAGGGGGAGGATCAAGGGCAGGGTGTGAGTCAAGGGCAGGGTGCGGGTCAAGGGCAGCGTGTGGGTCAAGGGCAGGGTGTGTGTCAAGGGCAGGGTGCGGGTCAAGGGCAGGGTGCGGGTCAAGGGCAGGGTGCGGGTCAAGGGCAGGGTGCGGGTCAAGGGCAGGGTGCGGGTCAAGGGCAGGGTGTGTGTCAAGGGCAGGGAGTGGGTCAAGGGCAGGGTGCGGGTCAAGGGCAGGGTGCGGGTCAAGGGCAGGGTGTGTGTCAAGGGCAGGGTGTGTGTCAAGGGCAGGGTGTGTGTCAAGGGCAGGGTGTGAGTCAAGGGCAGGGTGTGAGTCAAGGGCAGGGTGTGTGTCAAGGGCAGGGTGTGTGTCAAGGGCAGGGTGTGAGTCAAGGGCAGGGTGTGTGTCAAGGGCAGGGTGTGTGTCAAGGGCAGGGTGTGTGTCAAGGGCAGGGTGTGAGTCAAGGGCAGGGTGTGTGTCAAGGGCAGGGTGTGAGTCAAGTGCAGGGTGTGAGTCAAGGGCAGGGTGTGAGTCAAGGGCAGGGTGTGAGTCAAGGGCAGGGTGTGTGTCACGGGCAGGGTGTGTGTCAAGGGCAGGGTGTGAGTCAAGGGCAGGGTGTGTGTCAAGGGCAGCGAGTGGGTCAAGGGCAGGGTGTGTGTCAAGGGCAGGGTGTGTGTCAAGGGCAGGGTGTGGGTCAAGGGCAGGGTGTGTGTCAAGGGCAGCGAGTGGGTCAAGGGCAGGGTGTGTGTCAAGGGCAGGGTGTGTGTCAAGGGTAGGGTGTGGGTCAAGGGCAGGGTGTGTGTCAAGGGCAGGGTGTGTGTCAAGGGCAGGGTGTGTGTCAAGGGCAGGGTGTGAGTCAAGGGCAGGGTGTGTGTCAAGGGCAGGGTGTGAGTCAAGTGCAGGGTGTGAGTCAAGGGCAGGGTGTGAGTCAAGGGCAGGGTGTGAGTCAAGGGCAGGGTGTGAGTCAAGGGCAGGGAGTGTGTCAAGGGCAGGGTGTGTGTCAAGGGCAGGGTGTGTGTCACGGGCAGGGTGTGTGTCACGGGCAGGGTGTGTGTCAAGGGCAGGGTGTGAGTCAAGGGCAGGGTATGTGTCAAGGGCAGGGTGTGGATCAAGGGCAGGGTGTGGGTCAAGGAAGTTCGCTGTCCTGCACTCAGCTGTGCTCATCGAATCTGTTGGGGTCGATTCAAGAGGAGCCGAGCGATCGCGACATCAAGAACGCGGAGTCACGCGTGGAATAAATTGATGCACGCACGGAATGCACAGATGAGGGTCCGCATTCACGGTGCGGCGGCTGTAACGTAAGATTCGAATCTTCGTAGGCGTTTGACGGTGGCCACACACTGGCGCGTCAAGGAGGCCCCGGAGAAACTAGGCCACTCTGCGACAAATGAGCCGTGCTCCCATTCCGTCTCCTCGCCGCGCTCCCACAACTACGGATTGTCCGCGAAGAATGACCCGGCTGCGACCCTAGGGCTTGGGGTTAAAACATTTTTTACCGCTTCCGTTGGGCTCCTAAAACGGGCGGGCGGCGCGGCGGCGACGTTCCGAGTGTTCCATTCGTCTCGGGCCGCCCTCGTGTCGCCGCGATTTGTTGCGCGAAAGAAAATAAATGTGCGCAATAACGTTTCGTGGAACATGTTTACAATAGCAGGGCGTGTTTTTGTCAAAAAATTGCAATATTTTACTCCTTAAAAAAAACCTTCATCAAATGCACTGTACTACAAGTCACGATTGTTTTCAATTTATTTAAAAATGCATTTAGATATTTATTTTTAAAGAAAACGTCTGTTATTTTTGTACTTTGTTTTTTCTTTATTGCTGTACAAATTTGGCAGGGCGGGGGGGGGGGGTTGGAAAGGGAGAAGACAAATGGACGCCCACGCTCTCCACGTTTACATTTCTCAACTCGCCTTCCATAAAAGTGCTCGCCAACAACGTCTGTAACTCCGTGAGTAGCGATGGTTGTTGCAGGGACGGCCTGAGCACCGGGCAACGGTGGTGTTGCGCTCGGCAGTTCGAAGAGCATTCGGCCGCTGTAAATTTCCACGCGATAAGCCGCTTCGTTGAGCTACCGTTTGTGGCCAGGTCGCTTCTGAAAAAGATCTGTGTAGCTCAGTGGGGCCTAACCTGATAAAAAAAATGTATATAGTTTCGTTTTCTAAACCATTTGGCTGAAGCGTTATAAACGCTGCGGATTTTTCTTCATCATTTCCACGTTTGAAACGTTTGACGGATAAATTGTCCGCCGTGTTTTTTAATGATTTACACCACCGCCGCCTTCTCGGTGTTAACTCCGCGCTGCCGGAACGCGAATTAACAAAAAAATGTCACTCCGGCGTCAGATTTGTCGGTTGCCACTTGCTCCGTAGTGCGCGCTGACCAGCGTTGCCACCCGTTCTCGGTTTCCCCCAGGATCGTCCTCTTGTTGAAATAACCGTCCTGAGAAATGTGTACTTTTTTCCCGGAACATTTAAGCGATCGGTTTTTGTCAGTTGCCAAATATGAATAATAATAATCATAGACCACTCACGACAGCACAATTATACGTAGTTCTGCCCTCGTCCAAGTATTGTCAGATATTCTTCTAGGTTTTTTTGTACCTCAGTTTAAGAATATTTTTTCCTGCCTCGTTTATACCATTTCCTTTGCATTGTTTCTCATCATCACGCTGACCGCAATAAAGTTGCCACCTGTGTCCTGGCTTCTCCAGAATTGTCCCGGAAGCTTTTGTCAGTTGCATTATAATAATGATGATGCACCACTCAAGACAAGGCATTTCCCTTCCTGCGGTATTGTGCGAGATATCCCTCCTCCTCCTCCTCCCCTTCCTCCCACGATGCGTCCCTTTTATTTGTATTTTTGTATCTCAAAGGTGACAACACTGGCGCTGATGTGCCCGCGACGTTCGCCGGAGGAAGAGGACAAACATAAAA